CCGCTGGGAAGGGTACTGAAGGATGAAGCTATCTTTAGAATAGTTGCGCCGTCGTCTGCGGCCGCAAGGACGGCGGAAAGAAGGAGGAGGGGAAGGAGGAGATGGTGAAGGTGGTTGGACATTTTGGTTAAGAAACCAAAGAGCTTGATTATGCGACAACTTAGGCGTTGGTTCGTTTGAATAAGGTTGCCTATTTTTTCGGGGTGAAGAAAGAAAGAACAGAGTGTTTAGGGTAGGAAAGAATAGTTGGGGCAGAGAAAATGAACAAGAATATTGAGAGGAATTTTATTAGTTGTATTTCATTCACTTGAGGTTATTTATTTTTTTATTTATTTTGTTTAAAGAGAATATCTTAGCTGTTTTTTAGTTACCAATTTTATAAATTAAAGAGAACATTGAAAGAACCTTCCTTTAATGATGCCATGAGTTTTGATTTCAGATTCCATTCTACTACTAATATATTGCCTAAAATTCTTTTTTCTTCTTTTATGACAATAATGTTTAATATAATATTTTCATTGTATGGATATAAATTAAGATTCTTTTTGTATTAATTTTTTTTATTTTTCTCTCTTTGGTAAAAAAATATAATAGAAGAAAATAAATAATAAAAAGGTAAAGGAAAAAATATTAATTTAACATAATTTAAATAAATGCTAGTAAAAATAATTTAAAACTCTTTTTAATTTCCTTTTAAAAAGTCTCGTACACTCGTTTATCTCATTAAGTTGAATTTGTATTTTTTTTCTTAAATTGATAAAAGTGTCGTCATTAATAATATAAAATAATAAGTGTTAAATAAAAAAACAATTAAAAATCCTTAATAAATTATACTCTTAACTAATAAGAATAAAATAACATAACTATAGCATTAAGATTGCAACCAATCATTCTCCAATCAGCTTCATCGAATTAATTTTCATCAAATATTTGATTGTATTTATCAACGAGCATTACGCAAGACATTACTATAACTTATAGGAATAAAGTTTATGTTAGATTAAATAATTGGTAAGGTGCGATCCAATTTTAGCATTCAATCCTTAGAAACGTTTTGCAAATAAATAAAAATATTAAATATTTCCAACGAAATTATTCTTGTTCCCCTGTTTCAGTACCATAACTAATTGCAACATAAAAGAAAAAAAAATACAAAAATGCAGTAGTGTTAATAAGTGAATTTTGGATGGTGTGGGGATGGGCGGTGCGGTCCCACCAAAAGGACAGCTGTTGCTGAGCAGATGTGTAATAATCAATCAAAAACCATAGCAATAAAACAAGCTCTACACCGCAGTTTTTGCCTCCTTTCGGAACCATTCTCTCGCTTTCCCTGTCTGAAAGTCGTACATACATTCTTGTTCCTGCGGGTAACCGCGTTTCTGTTTTGTTCTTATCTGCTGTCAATTTGTAGCCGTTTGATTTTTTGCTGATTACGCTCTTGACTCTTCAATCTCCTACGAAAAACAAAACCCCCATAATCCTAAACAACCCTACAGCCATAATATAAACAGAGTTGTTCCTATTTATTATAATGCATAGTGGATGATTTTAGGCTTTCTATGGTCTAATAATTTGGCCAAGGTACCTCATCATGTTACCCATTAAAAAAGGGGCTTTAATAATGTCCTTTTGAGAAAACTTTTCAAGAAAAGCAAAACAAGTTACTGTAACTCAGCAAAGCAAAGTTGGGCTTTTTACACATGATTAAAATGTTTCACTTATAATTGTACTACATCGAAATAAAACCACACATTTTCTGATTCCTTTCTTTTTCAATAAAAAAAAATCTAGGACATACAAAAAATAATAATTTGGTTATTCTATAAATGAATTCTATATAAGGGTAATAATTGCTCAATTGATTTTACGTAATTTTACCACTTGGTTACATTTTTTTTGTTGTGGTAAAATATTTAGACATTTAATATATTGTAATATATTTAAAACTAGTAAAATTAAAAAAATTTAGTTAAAATCAGACAAACTATAAACAAAATTTACAATAACATAGTAACGTAAAGGTGACTAAAATCCCAGATTCATCAACGTGACTTGATGGATAGTTCATGATTCAAATCATACATTCATCCACACTCACGATTCGAAATTGTTAGGCATGAATTTATGTGAGCAGTCAAGGATATTGACTTCAAGATTGCCCGACCAAACTATGCTTTCTCTTATAATAAAGCATAAAAAATAAATGAGATTGGACCAATAAGTTAAGATAAAAATACAAACTCATTCAATGAAAACCTAACTTAAAACATTTAATTACACTAAATATAAAGCACTACTATAACTTAATGCATTTTAATTGGCTCAATTATGATATCCGGATATAAATTTTAAATACAGAAATTTTGTAAAGAAATCTAAACTTAAATAGTTAGTCATAGCTATGAAATTCATTCATTGTCGGTAAATTTTAAAAAATCTTAAAGTTCAAGGAGAAAAAATAAATTTATTTTAAGTATACTATAATTTGACATGGCAAATCTTGCTAATTGGGATCTACTATCTATATTAGGCCACTAATGATATAATCCATCTAAAATCAAACCCCATAACAACTATCTCTCCATGACTTCATGTGAAAATTTTAACTATTTCTTTTGACCTGCAACCCTCTCCTACTGATCTGCTCACATAATACTTTTATATAAGATTATAGATGGTTGGATTGTTTGACTAATTTCATATCATGTAAAGGAGGTAGGCCTAAATGATTGAGAGAGCCTGCGAAATTTTAGGAAATTACATAGGCTTATGGACCTTGGATTGTTAACTTGGACTGGCTCTGGTCCATAAGGTTATTCAATTGTGGGGTGGAAATTGATCTAAAGCTAATCCACTTAACTAAATATAAGCCTAGGCCTAATTTAAATAGGGAATTTTTTTTTCTTGTTTTAGTTTGCATCTAAATATTAATGCGATACCCAAGTGAATTTTGTTCCGTGTTTATGGGCCTAGCACACTTTCAGTGTCATATGTTAGGATTAAATTATCTTTTGTTATTATTTTAATTACTTTGTTTTTTTATTTTACCAAATTAGTTATTACTTGCATTTTACTTTTGAAGGAGGAAACAGTTGACGTGTTTAGCTAAAAAAAATGCTTTTTCTTGGAAAGTAACAAATATGTATTTTTTTGAATAATTAAATTTAAAAAAATTCTTGGAAGTGCACGATTATAAGTTTATGTCATGTAATTATGTGATCAAGTAGTATAATTTTTGTTTTCATCATTTATTTTTATTTTTAACAACTAGAAGAAAATAAAAAATTATATTGATATGAACCTTTTGTTCAGGCAGTGTACGTATTAGTGTTCATTTACAAGAATAGTTAGTCTAAAACTCAATTGATCTCATATTTCTAAGAACAGAAATAGCCAAAGACACATTAAGCATAAACAATAAACAAAAGAAAAGTTTAATTAAAAATAATAAATAAATAAATAAATACCTCCTCATTAAAACATAAATAGTCAGATCGTCGCATTCCTATAATATAATAATTTTATCTAATCCATTGTTTTTCATAAGTCGCGAGAAACTTCCTAGTTTGTCTGAATCGACAAGTTCATCTCAAATCTCAAAAGATGACCGAAAGCCTTATCTTAGGTTTTTAGACGCACCACGTTGATGGCTCAATCGTAAGATTTTCTGGCCAAGACCACATAAACGCTTCCCTCCAATTCGCCAAATGCCTACGTAAGCCCTCGGTGTATGTCTCACCTTACAATCACTATCTTTGCCTTGAAGATAACCTTCTTTTTGGGCCAGAGTTAAAATATTTTTAAAAAGAGATTAAATAAAAAAATTAAATAATTAAAAAATATATAATTTAATTATCATTTATTTAAAAAATTAAATAAAATTTAAAAGATATTAGATATAAAAAATACACATTAACAATAATAATAGTATCATAAATATATATGATTAAATAGAATTATAAAAAAAAAATTTCTCACTCTTTGCGGTAAGAGTGAAAAAAAAATAATTTTTTAAACTCAAATGAATTGTCTCTTTACTTTGTATATTCTAGTTCTCCTTTTATTTTTTATTTTCCTCTTAAATTACTAATTTAACATATTGAGTTATTGAGTTGAGCTATTAAAATATAATATGTTATGATAGGTTATTAAATTGAACTATTAAGATATAAAATGTTATAATAAGCTGAGATTTATATTAAAACTTAATGGGTTTGGATTAGTAAACTTAGTTTTATTTTTAAAAAAATTTGATAGGCTTAACATATTAATTTAAAATTTATTTACTGGGTTTATCTAGTAATATGCTAATTATAATGACTCTAATTTTATTAAATAGTTTGAAGAATAAAACTAATTATTAAATAAAAAATTATTTTGAGAGCTATTAAAAATATATATAATAAATAAAATTATATTGAAAGAAATATAATTAGTTAATTCTATTAATTTGTATATATATTTTTATTACTTAAAGTTTGTAGCATACATACTAGAATGCATTGACTATTCTAAATAAAAAATAAGATATTGATGGTATCCTAAGTAACAAAGCAACATTGCAACTTATAGTTGAAAAATACATAAAAATTTATTTATTTTGAAAGATTCAAATTATAAAAAATAAAATTCACACAATAAAAAACGAAGAAAATAACAAGTAAAAAATAAAATTCACATATGATATAATAAAAAAAAGAATATAATTGATAGTTTATAAAAATTTATGAAAAAAAATCTAAAGAGATTTAAAATATATAAGTAAATAGAGTAAAAATAAATAAATAAATAAATTTTAAATTCAGTCAAATAAATAAAATTATTTTATTAATTATTAAATAAAAATTATTGTAAAAGCTATTAAAATTATTTATAAAAAATTAAAAAAAAATTAGATGATAATAAATTTTTTAAAAAAATTTTAGAGCGCCGTGGCCCCATTCCATAAGGAGGCTCTGCCCCTGCTCCCGATGGTTTGACCGTTTTTTACTCCTTCGTTCATTTTCTTTTTGGCTTTTCTTCTTCTTCATTTTTCATTTTTCCAATTTTGTTTCCCTCTTTATTCTCTCAATTTCTCCGTCCTCCAATATCATTCTCCAAAGATTAGCTAGCGAAGAAGGATTTTTGAAAGATTAGGTACGGAATTTCATAAATCTGAATATTTGTATCACATATTTGAGTTTGCCTAAATATGTAACATATCTGATCTACGTTTTGAATATTGGTAGCTTTTACTTCCCTCTTTAACAACGACGCGCCGGATATTAACTACCCTCGGTCTGATTTGAGCTGGTTTTTGCTCTCTCGCACTACACATATAGCTGAGTTTTGAGCTTCGGTTTAGGTACGATTTGCTCTCTCACTCCACAAATTCTCGGCTTTGCAAATGTTCAATATTTTTACTGGCACACGGTACTACTAGCTTGAATCCGTATACACTGGCAAAAATGGAGGTTAATTGATTAATTTGTTAAAGGTGTTCTTTTGGAATAGCATTGGAGGCTCTCCTCAAGCGTCGAGAAGATTCTACAAATGATTCTGGTGCTAGTAATTTCGTTAATATTTTGGTGGAGTTGTTTGGCTGTCTGGAAATGCAAAGAAATTAATGATAAAACAAAATGAAAATTTAGTTGACAAGTTCGATTTTATTTAATGGATTTTGCATTAGACAAAAAATTACTACTCGTTTCCTTAAGTGAATTGAAAATGCCTTGCTTTCCTTAATTTGTCAATCTCATAAAAAAATTCTCAATGGATTATATTTTTCCTTTCCTTATGGTATCGACCTTGTGTATGTGGCCGTAGACTGTATTTATGGAAATGCTGTATCCCTAATCCTCGAAAACTGCATAGCTAGAGTTTTTCTCTCTCTTGGCTTTTCCGAGTTCTTTTAAGTGTTAACCGCTAATTAAGTCCCCTCTCTGCTTTTTCGTTGCTTGCTCTGTTTGGCTTTGGACCCTATATGAATTTTGTTTTCCTGCAAAATTGTTGAACCTCCTTGCTCACCAACTTTCAGTTTATATTTTTATTTATTATTGGATAGTTTTTAAAGATTTTTTTTTCTCGTGTTGGGCTATTTATTTTGTAGCTTGCTAACTACATCTACTTGGGGATCACTTTGGCTGCTAGAGATCATTGTATTTCATAAACCACGGACACTTCCTAGGTTGTCTCAATCAACAAATTCATCTTAACAGAAGTGCTGTAAGCCTTATCTGAGTTTCTCACACGCACCACCCTATGATGGCTCAACCTCACGTCCTCCTTGTAACGTTCCCTGGCCATGGTCACATAACCCTTCCCTCCAATTCTCCAAGCACCTAATACTCCCAGACCTTCGTTTCATCTTTGCAAATACCGTCTCCAAACCAATGTCCCCTCTTGAGGGTTTAACATACGTTGCTGCCTACTCCGACGGTTATGACGGCGGGTTGGAACCCAATGATGATGTTGACCGTTACATATTAGAATTCAGGCGTAAGGGTCCCGAGAATTTGAGCGAATTCATTGGTGCTAGCATTGAGCAAGGCACAGGGTTCACTTGTATTGTGTATGGAATCATGGTGCCTTGGGGTGGTATTGGTGGCGTGGGAATTTCACATCCCCTCAACGTTATTTTGGAATCACCCGCCAGCGTTTTTGGCACCTATTATCATTACGTTAAAGATTATGGTCATATCATAAGGAAAAAGGTTAAAAGACCATTCGTCTATCGTCGAATTGCCAGGATTGCCACCTCTTGCTAGCCGTGACATGCTCTCGTTTTTCCTTCCTTCAAATGAGTACGATTGTGCTTTACCATCATTGAAGCACCATGTAGAGATCCTTGATGAAGAAACGAAGCCAAAAGTTCTGGTTAATACCTTTGATGCTTTGGAACCTGAGGCTTTAAAAGCGATTGATAAGTACAATTTGGTTGGTATTGGGCCCTTGATGCCGTCTGCTTTCTTGGATGGAAATGATCACTCCGATTCTTCATTCGGAGGTGATCTTTTCAAGGGCACAAGCGACTATATCCAGTGGCTGGACTCAATGCCAAAAAGTTCAGTTATTTATGTATCGTTTGAAAGCATTTTTATGTTGACAAAACAACAAATAGAGGAAATTGCAAACGGGTTACTAGCCACTGGCTATCCTTTTTTGTGGTTGATAAGGGAAGGGCTGGAGAGAAAGAAGAGAAACTGAGTCGTATCGAAGAATTGAAAAAGCAAGGGATGATAGTGCCATGGTGTTGGCAAGTTGAGGTTCTTTCTCATCCATCGGTAGGGTGTTTCTTAACTCACTGTAGATGGAATTCGGCCTTTGAAAGCTTGGTTTCTGGGGTGCCAATGGTGACGTTTCTGCAGTTGACAGATCAAGGTACTAATGCGAAGCTTGTGGAAGATTTGTGGAAGATTGGGGTAAGGGTGACTAGGAATCCTGAAGAAGGAATTGTCGTCGAAGGGCACGAGATTAAAAGGTGCTTGGAATTGATGATGGAAGGTGGAGAGAAAGGGGAGGAATTGAGAAAGAATGGCAAGAAATGGAAGTATTTGGCAAGGGAAGCTGCCAAGGAAGATGGGTCTTCAGTCAAGAACCTTGAGGCTTTCGTACATGAGCTTCGAAAAAGCTACTGAGTTGACCTTTCCTGCTTAGTTAATTTACTGGCTAAAGAAATTTGAGGAATCAATTTATTTTGGCGGGTTCGCTTTTGTCGTTTGAAATGTATTTGCAACTACCGGTCTGTGAATGTGATTACCACTTCGAAACTGTGAATAAGCTATACTTAAGAATATGTAAGAGGTGGTTGTATGTCATTATCTTTTCACAATTACACTGTATACTTTATTAAGTACTACATTTTCACAAGGAATAAACAAGTATATATATCCATCTCATCAACTAATTAACTCTAATTTGCTTAAAATTAATTCCCATATCCATCAAGGGACTTTGTCATTTTTAGACTAATTTGACTAAATTAGATTTATCCATAATTCTGTGTACATAAACATACTTGTTAGGCATTTCCCTTATACAAAGTTTAAGACAATTTGTCTTGTGCAATTTCTCTTTCTCTATCAGTCTACAAGTTACATTTCAGAATGTGGTTGTCCAGACTTGTAGACTAAATTGATGTGTTTTCTTTCAATTTGTCTAAAAATTGAGTTATGTATGCAAAATTGAGTCCTTTGGTTTGTGAAAGCTACCACTGTCGTTTTTGACTATTCCTTGGTGCTTTACTTACATTAAAAACTATCTTGTTGAGCCCCTCGAGTTATTCGAAATTAGTCAATTTTTGTTGAGATTAAAAATAAGAGAATAAAAATTAAAAATTTTAAAATTTAATATATTGAATTTAATCAATAATTAAATATTTATAATAGACTATAATTTTAGATAACATGTAAATTAAGAAAAAAAAGACTTATCATAGCCTTTTATTAAAGTTGTGCTTAACGATATTTCTCGAATTCAAATTCATCAATTATTAATTTTATAGTGAAAAGCATCTATTTTTTTAAGATTGAGTCTTACATGTTTTGATTCACATTACTCTTATTCATAAGTTGAAGCAATAAGGTTTAGTGGCTCAAGTATAGGAAAATAATTTAAATGATTTGCATCCTAATTTTTTATAAAGAATTTGTCAATTGTGCTTTTCAAAAAAGAATTTATTAATTGTTTTTAACTTACTCATATACTAATCAAATTTGGAAAACAAAATTAATGTAGTTAACATCAAAATTCTTATTTTATTTTTATTTACATTTTTAATATTAAATATCAAACTATAATGCATAAAATATAAATCATTAAATGTGATATAAAGGATTAATAATTTTCTCTTATATAATCAAAATTGTTTAAAAATTAAATACTTAACATAATTTCATCATATATCCTAATTTCCTTTCAACTAAATATAAACATAAAGCAAATAAAAAAGATAGTTTTCTTTTATATAATCAAGATTAATTAAAAAAATGATACAGTGATGAATTTTAAACTACAATGCAATACTATAATTTATATTTAAACATTACATAATAATTTTTTATATTTTAAAAATTAAAATTATAAATATTAAAATCCACATAGCAGAAAAAAGAAGAGCTTAGCAAGAAGAAAATAGAACCCAAACATGACATAACCAAAAAGAAAAAAAAAATACATGATTGATGGTTTATAGAAATTTTAAAAATAAAATCTATAAAAACTTAGAACATATAAGTAAATAGAATATAAATGAAAAAAATAAAAAAAATATAAATAATAATATAAATTGAAAGAATAAATCAAAAAAAAACTTTACCTCTTTTTAATTTCATACTATGGTGCTGAGTGGTCTTTGTTCTTTCTTATCCAAACTGGCATGCTTTTAAATTTCTCTTAAAAAATAAAATATATTCCGATAGTGAGTTATAAAAAATATAATAAAGTAAAAATAAAAAAAAGAGAAGAGAAACATGAAGAAACTTAATAGTTAAGAGGGTAAGGTTGAATACGATATGTACGTAGAATCATTTGTTATTTTTTATTTATATTAATTATTAAATAAAAATTATTTTAAAAAATAATTAAGAAAATATATAAAAACTTTTTAAAAATTTATATGATATATAAAAATTTTTAAAAATATTTGGAGGCCCACAACGGCCCTATGTATTTGCAAGTAGTGCTCTTAGTTTAGCGCTT